CGCCGCGGGGCCCAGGCCGGACCCGGAGCCGCGCGCGGAGCCAGGTGGAGCCTCCCCTCGTCCCCTTGGGGTCCAGGCAGGCCCAGCCACCCGGGTCTGGCCTGGTGAGCGGGGTGGAGGATCCCGGGCCCTACTGGAGCGGGTGTGGAGAGTTCTCCTGGGGTCGCGATCGGGTTCTGTCCTGACGCCGTGTTGTTGTGTTGGTGAAGGTTGAACTTTGGAACGAACGGCGGGCGTGTTGCATTTGGAGGGGCAGTGAGGGGACCCCGCGCCTTGCGTAAGTCAGAAGTTGGGAAGGAAGCAATTCTTGGAACAAGTTAGGGGCATGTTGAAGTTGGTGCGTGGAGGGGGAGGGGCCCCGGAGGATCCCAGAAGCGCTTGTTGTAGTGTTGGTCGGAGGGCGTGGGGTCGTGTTCTAAAGTAGGATGTGCTTTCCTGGGCTCAAGTGGATGAGCGACGGGTGTTGGGTATCCCAGGCTCGGGGGACAGATCGAATCTGAAGCTGTGAAGGGGGCTTTGCAGGCTGGAGAGCAGAGTGGGTTGGAGGTTGAGCTCGCATGTGTGCAATCTTGAAAAAATACATGCTTATCGCAGAGCCTGGCACCAAGTGAGGATGAGATAAATACCATCTATTTATATTTTTGATAATACTAATCATAAACGCCAGTAGTGCTCGATGAAAAAGCTGGGTGGGATTTAAGTTTTGGAGACGAAGATTGGTTGGCTGGGGCTGTTTTGTTTTTCTGTGTTGGTTTCCGTCTATGATGCTGGCAGTTTAAAGTTCTGTTGTAGGACTCTTGGCCTGAATTCCTTTCCTTTTTTCAGCATGGGCTGCCCATCACTTGTTGGTGCTGAAGTCTGAGATAGAAAATCCCTTTTGTAACACAAACCAAGACTTAGGCTTCTTTGGGGGCACGCCCAGGCAACATATCTACAACTGAGATTTTCAAGAAATGTAAAATCAGCAAATGCCATTTGCCAGCCCTTTTATGTTAGGAATTCTGCCTTGCGTTGCTTTCTGTAGGAGAAAGCAGGCATTGCTTTGTGTGTATGAAAGTGCAGTTCCTAGAAACTACAGGGTCCAGAATGCATCTGTTTTGGTTCAAGCAGAGACACCTGCCAAAGACACCTACCTTGCTTTTCCGTCTAAGGGCTGAGATGGTCTGCGTTTTACTTTCTGTATTTCATGTTTAGAACATCACAGCGCTTTTGTGAGGATGTACCTTTATTTCTGTTTTATAGATGAGGCTGAGGCCCAGAGAGATTAAATTACTTGCCTAATGGTTATTTAGTCCAATTCTATCTGATTCCTGATCAATTTAGTTTGCTTTACTTTCTGAGATTATGAATATATACAAGGCAATTTCTCTGGTCTCTCTACTACTACATTGACTGTATGGCCAAATAGGAGAGCAGTTTTTATTTCTTTATTTCTAGGAGCAGCTGTGAAATATCTGCTTTGAAATTTGAACTATGAAAGAGAGTATTACTTGTTGGTTTGTGTACACATTTTCCCATTAAAGAAGTTTGTTTCATAAAGGACAGGCTATTAGTGATTAAGGACATTTACTTAAAATGAGAGTCCATAGAATTTATTGTGATATTTAGTATCTTCCAGTTATATGTGGGTCATAATGAAAAGTATATTCCCTAAATTTCTTTTTGGATTAGCGAGTAAATGCAATCATATATTTATTCAGCTAAATAATTTTAGAAGAATAGAAAAAAACTACTGAACCAGTCATGATGACGCAAACTTGGGATCTCATTATTTGGGAAGTGGACTCAGGAGGGTCAGGAGTTCAAGATTATTCTTTGCTATGTGAGAAGCTGTTCAAAAAACAAGACTTAAAAAGAATTGCCAAATAGGGTTTGGGAATTATCTTTTAGCTTTAGTGGGTATTTACTGAAGTTATTTATACACAGTATTTTTAAACTAAAATTTTAATGGGGGGGCAGCAAGATGGCACCGACAGTTTGTAAAGCTGTCCCCTGACCTGTGTGTGTGTGTGTGTGTGTGTGTGTGTGTGTGTGTGTGGGCATATGGACACACCTCCTAAAATAAGTACATAAAAATGTCATAAATTGTGCTAGGACAAGCCTGTGCTCCCACTATTTGGGAGCTAGAGAAGAAGACAGGATCTTAAGTTCAAGATCTTCCTTGACTACAGAATAAGTTTCAGGCCAGCCTGGGCTACATGGGGCTCTGTCTCAAAACCAAACCCCAAGCCCATTTTATCCTTCATGAGTCGGAGGCAAACAGAAGAAGGTGTTGGGTGAATGGCGCTTTCCCCTCATTTCTACCACCTCCAGTGTTTACTCTTCCACACCTTATGCATCTTTATGAAGTCCTTATCAAAATTAAAATGTGTATTTTTGCCATTTTTATGCAAAAGGTTGTGTGTTATACCACTGTTGTGTATGTTGTGTGTGTGTGTATTACATGGACACACTGAGGACAGAGTAAGATGTCAGACACCTTCCTCTATGACATTGGTTTAAACTTTCCTATTGCTGTGACCCTCGTGTTGTGGTGACCCCAACCATAAAACTATTTCCTTCTACTTCATAACTGTAACTTTGTTACTGTTATGAATTGTAATGTAAATATCTGTGTTTTCTGATGGTCTTAGGCGATCCTTGTGAAAGGGTCATTCAACGCCCAAAGAGGTTGAGACCCACAGGTTGAGAACCACTGCTTTATGCCTTGTTGCTTTGAGATGAGGACACCTTCCTCTATGCCTTCTTGCTTTGAGATGAGGTCTCTGATGGACCCGGAAGCTCTTCATGTTGCTAGGTTGACTGGTCAGCAAGATGGCAGCATCCTCCAGTCTGCCCATCAGTGCTGAGGTGACAGCCGCCTGGAGCTATGTCTGGCTTTTTATATAGGGCTTTGAGCTGAGGTCCTCATTGCAGATCAAGTGCTCGTAGCCCCAGAGCCCCAGCCGTCTCCCCAGCCCTCTAAGTTCCTTTGTTTGTTTGTTTGTTTAATAGTACATTCATGATGCATTCATGCTGCAAGAGAAAAAAACATCTTTAATATTCTTAGAATTGTATGGAATTTTACTAAACGACATTATTTAGCCATCTCTTGGTGAATGTTTAAGTGGAATCTTATCTTTTTCTATTATCAACAGTTTTTTTCAAATTTAAATAAAAATTTATGTATATGAGTGTTTTGCCTGCATGTATGTGTGTGTGTGTGCCTGGTGCCCAAGGTGGCCAGAGGAGGGTATCAGATGCCCTGGAGTTGGTGTCATAGATGGCTGAGAACTGACAGGTGGGTGCTGGGAACTGAACTTCTAGAAGAGTAAATAGCTAGTGCTCTTAAGCATGAGCCATCTCTCCAGACTCATAAATAATTTTTAAATAGTTGTTTTGTAAGTATGTGCATTTTTTATGGAGAGATCTCTCACAGCTTCAACAGATTTTCGAAGGGCTGCTAAAGAAGAGAAAAAGGAAGAGGTTCAGAACTGTTTCCTTCTGGGTCCTCATTGTTCCAGAGAGAAGACTGAAGTGGAGGGGAGAAAGAACTCCTAGTTACAAGTTGCTGCAGTGAGGTAGTAGATAAACAAGAGCTGAGAGTACTGTGTACAAGACAGAACACAGACGTGGTGACCGTGAAAGGCCCATGTTGACTTTGTTTGTTTTTTTGATAAGATCTCACGTTGTAGTCCAGCCAGGCGGGATGAAGGAGGTGTGGAACTTGTGACTATTCTACTGCTTCTCCTGAGTGCTGAGCTTGCAAGTATGAGCTACCGGCCTGGCTCCAGATGGCTTTTAATGGAGGCGGCTGAACTATTTGCATTGCATTTCATGTAGTGACTGCAGCAGCAGGAGGTCATGTGTAGGAACCCTAGAAGTGTATCTCCTAGTGGATTCTTACATCAGTTAGGCCAGGTAATGAAGGAAAGGTTGGGGCTGCTTTGTAAAACTGGAAATGAAATTATATTAGGTTTACTGCTGTTGAAGTGAGATTCTTTTGTTTTTATTTATTTGTTTATTTATTTGAGGCCAGGTTGTGCTCTGTTGTACAGGCAGGCTGTTTTTAAACTCCTGCAGTCAAGTGGTGTCCTCACACTTCATCCTCTGTATATGCTACTGAAGCTGCTTATTGCGGTTTTGTATTTGGAGACAGGACCTTGTGGAGCCTGGCAGGCAGTAAACTGGAGACCTTCTAACCTTAGTCTCCCGAGTGGTGGGATTCAAGCATGTGCCACTGTGCACAATTTATTTATTTTTTGAAAAAGGTTTCAAGGGGTTGGGGATTTAGCTCAGTGGTAGAGCACTTGCCTAGCAAGCGCAAAGCCCTGGGTTCGGTCCTCAGCTAGTGGGTGGGATTTCAAAGTTCACTGTGGGACTGGAGAGATGGCTCAGTGGTTAAGAGCACTGACTTCTCTTCCAGAGGTCATGAGTTCAATTCCCAGCACCCACATGGCAGCTAACATCTGTCTGTAACTACAAGATCTGACACCCTCATACAGACATGCATACACACAGAACACCAATGCACATAAAATTAAGTAAATTATTAAAAAAAGTATACTGTCTCTTTTAGAATTGGATTGTCTATGAAGACAAGTGTAGTCTGTACTTGTTGAAAATTTTGGTTGTGTTTTTGACATTTTTGTGGCTTGACATTTATCTAATTGAGACAGGGTCTGACTGTGTATCCCAGGATGGTCTCAAAGTTAGAGCAGCCCTTCCCCCTCAGTTTGGGAGAGTCTCCCTGAGTGCTGGGATTCCAGGTGTGTACCACCATACCTAGTTTACTAGTTGTTTTTGCCAACCCGTGAGGCCCAGTCTGTGAAGGCTGCAGTAGTGATGAGATCAAGACCAAGTCCAAGTTGAACTTGTCATTCATTCTTTGAGGCTGCGCAGGTCCTTGTCTGTGTGGACATATTAAGTATTTGTACTGTCTTGAGCAGTGTGCAGGGGTTTATAATGAATACTACATTTTGCTAAGCATTGTTCACGCTGGTGAACAAAATATTATAAATCTCTTTCTCGTGGAACTTATATTCTAAATTTAAAGGCATTCTAACATGTTGATTTAAAAATATTTACTACATAGGTGTGCATAGATTTAGAACTGTACATAATA